ATAAACGATGGAGGACTATTGATTTATTATAAATATAGAAAAATATATAGTGTTTATAAGAATTATAATAAATACTGTAGGTATACGCATCGTTGTTAAACTAAATTCAAATAGAGGAGCATTGTTTTTCGTTAGTTTTTGTTACGTGAAGGGATTAGGACAATTAAACAAACGTCACAAATGACAATAACTTTTATTTATTACTTTTAATTGACTACAAAATTCGCAATACACAACTTGTAAATTATCTTCTATCTTCTATATATATAAAAATGGATTGCTGTTCCTTAGTCTCGCTAAAACTCGAGAACGGCTGAACCGATTTGGCTAATTTTAGTCTTGAAATACTCCTGGAAGTCCAGGCAAGGTTTAAAAGGTGAGAAAAATTGGAATAATTGCCGGAAAAACCCTAAAAACAGCCCTTTTCTATTTCCCATACAAACGTTTTTTTTTGACAATAGATTTGATAACTAACTAATATGTCAATCATTCTGTTTGATTTAAACAGGAAAAACCTGATTATTTATGGCCTCTAAGACGGAATAGAGTTCGCCTGGTCAGCTATACCTATATATGTATATCAATCTTGACTAAACTATGTAACGCGGACGAAGTCGCGGGCAAAAACTAGTTATATATATTTTTTTAAATACATTCTAAATTAATTTGTTTTAAATATTCCTAAATGCATTTTGGGATATACTTATTATTTATATATTTTGGGATTTTGTGCATTCATTAGAGGATGTAGTCGGAACTTCTTGTAGTCTTACTATAGCAAAGATTATAGTATTCAATACTTATATTATTTGCTGGTATTTAAATATGGGGAATTTCTTCTCTATATAAAATGGCTCTTGCTCTACTAAGAATTTACAAAGATATGGGTTTTGCTGCAAGAAAAGAAATTAATACTTATCTACTAAGTTTTTAGTGTAAATCAATATCTTTATGAGTATCGGACTTAATTAGCAACATATTATTTTACAGTTCCTAATCTATTTCAATTTTTCTGAATTTATGCTTCTTACTGCTTAAAAGTCCAGAAAAATATTTTTTTATACAGTTTGTGTTTTCTTTAATCTCATCTAAATTGTTCTATGACTCTAAGCTCTTCTAAACAGTAACTCTGACAGATATCCCTGTATCACTTACAATTTATCACTTACAAAATTATAATTTTTCAGTTTTTTATTTAAGCCATTTGTTTGGTTAATTTTAGTCGTCACAATGTCTCCAACTACTTACATTTATGTTGATGGATTAAACATACTTATCAGTCATAAATAATACCCTAATAACACTATAGTGCCCCAACCACAAACATGTTTTCATAAGTGAATGAATTGCCTGAAAGATCTAATTGAACACTTTATAACAAAAATTTTACGAGCGTTATAAAATATTTTATATGAAAATGTAGTTTTCAATATAATATTTTGAGTGACAAATAAAAACTTTAACAATAAAACTTCTGTTGCTCATACAACCAAATAATTACATCTTCTGTAATATTAGGTACCATATCGATAATTTTATTAAATTCGTTATAAAACATAATAGTTCTGACCCCTGGCTTCGCTTGCGTGGATAACATCTTGGATATATCAGGTAATAGCAATGCCCCTCATAAAGGTTTATTATATGAATAAGCCTATTATATGAACTACTGTCATTGGACAAATTTAGAGGCTTAAAATATTCTAATTATAATATCTTCTTCACTTCCTGGCAATTTTGCAGCTTTAGCCAGGGTCTGCCTTACATGTTATAAATAGTTTTGGCTAATTGTTTTTACGACCGGCCGCCTGCCTGACATCAACCCTCTTTGGGAATGCATTAATCACCCCGCTTGCTCAACACGGGTTGGTGATTTCAAACTTATAATTGTGAAATTATAAATCCAGGTTTCCTCAGAGTGTTTTCTTTCACTTTGTGTCAGTGGTGTCTAAATACTCTCAGAAAGTACGTATGACTCGGAAAAATCACATTGGTACTTGCCAGGATCGAACCCGCGCCCTCATGCATGAGATGCGGGCCTTGAACCACTAGACCACCACTGACTCAATTCTAGTTATATTATAGGTGTCTTTAATCCGAGAAGAAACCCCTTGTGTTTTAGTGTGTTCCAAAATTTCATTTTCACCACTGGTAATGTCTGACAAATATTTCTTAGTACTCGTAGAAGTATCTGCAGTTACAAAACTGTTGTCGTGCTTAATGTGACTTATCTTCCTATTCAAAATTTCTTAGTAATAAAAAATGTTTTTAGAATTTAACAAACCTATTTGATAAAATAGGATTGAACTGAAGAAAGCTTTCGCAGTATCAGTTGTCTTCTTAAACTGAGTGTCAAATCTTGAAAACTAAAGTGGGACAACTTCTTAACATGTTTCATAAAAAAAATCAACTCCTATATATCGCATGCTTGGGGTTGACTTCCAAAAAACCGTAACACAGGATCAATTCAGAGATTCTAGAAAGTTAATCGCAAGTTTCGTAAAGTCATAGCTACTTTAAAAAAGATATTACCAAAACGAAACCCCTGTTTGTCCCAGTAGCATAAAATATTTAAAATGCCCTCTTATTGTGCGTTGGCATTTTCAATTAAAACAACTGTCCAAATGTCACGTTTCTACCATTAGTGGTTTGGGGTGTGCGTTCATCTATTTGTCATTGGGAACTTCTACTTTTGTTTTAATATGTTTTATTTAACTACAATCGATAAGTATTAGGTACTATTGTTGGTAATATATATAAAATATATAAATAACACTAATTCCGTCCATATACATTGAAAATTTATAAACTTTAATGTAATTTCATATTCTTTTGAAGTCCTTTTTTTTTTGTTATCGAAACTTATAAAGAAGATCATAAGATTATTTTATTTATAAAGTGTATTTCATTATTTTATACTAACCTTTCACCAAGTTTTGACTAATATAAAAATTAAAATAATTAATATTAACAGATATTAATTTTCTACACTACACTGTCAAGTTGTAGTATTATAGTGTGTTGTTCAATGAGAAACTGGAGACGCTACGTATATAGTGTGACGATGCAAACTTAGAGTAAGCAAACAGATAGGTACGTGTTATAATACTCCACTTTTTGTTGATTTTTATTTTTGAATTAAGTTGATAAATTTTCTTCTTAAAATTAATTTGGTTTATCCAAGTGATAAGTATTTAATTATAATAACAATAGATATTTTTATAAATTTTTAAAAGTATCTAGAGTGTAGACTATAATATTTAACAAACAAATATGAACTCTTAAGGCAATCCTTAAATCCAAGTCATTTGTGGCTCAATGAGATTGTTAGCTATTTTAAATGTTACACCAAATTATCGATTTAGCTACTATTACATGTTATGGCAAATTGGTTCTTATTGTTATGTTAATAAGAGGGTGTACTATATCAATTTGATGGATTTTCTTTATAAAATGTCACTTTGTACTTGCACCATTCTATGGTATGCGCTAAGTGCTTCTTTGATATAAAGTCAAGGTGTTCACAGTTAGTGTTCACGATTAATAGATCCTGATAGTATTAAACGTTTAAAACCAAAATTTACAACAGCGATAAATACGACAAAGTACTTTTCTTGATATACATAATTAGGCCATTGAATAAAAATAATAATTTTTCGTAGTCTACGTCACTGTGAAGTAGAAAAAGTATGTTTGCTATTTTTAGAAAGAGGTAGAATACGTTTAATACTTATTTCCATCGAGACAATACGAAATGTTTTCCGTTTTTCATACTATAATCTACATAAATATAATACTATTTGCTAAGACATGGAAGAAAAACTCTTTATGGTCCATATGGAGTGACAAGCTTGTGGTAAGCTTACTAAATTCATTCTAGCCAAACCTATATATAAGAAAATAATTCTTAAATCAGGTTATTCATACAAAAATAAAACAATGTAAACAATAATTGTCTTTATTGAGATAGATAAGTACATAATTGACATTATAAAATGAAACATTAGGTAATATATTTAAATGACGTTACATAAGGCAGAACTATTTCAGTCTATAATACTACAAGTTGATAGTTGTATACGTATATAATATAAATTCATTGATAGGATACATTTGAAAACTTCAGTTACACGAACTAATTAATTATGTAGCAAAAAAAATATGAACATGACTTTAATACCATCTGGTAGATTTCACTAATAAAGTAAAATTGATATAACATGATAGTTAAAAGGTTAACTTTATTTAAAGCTAATATAGGCTACATAAGATAGGCTTCAGAGGCTAGTACAGTCAAATCCTATTTCTACATCTAACGATAAATTCAATACGATTATATATTTATATGTGATGAATATAAAATATCAGGTAAAACAAATAACAACGCTTCTATTACAAAGCGTTTCATTAAGATATATTTATTAATTAATATCAAATATCTACAAGCAAATAATATTAATAATATGTAATATTTACTAACATAATACTAAAACGCATTATTTCTTAATAGTGTTGTCTATTATTTTATATAAACATGGCATAATTCGCATATACCTTAATCTACTAAAGGCCCTTTATAGAAGACTATGTAATTTGGGAACTATATAAACTGGCCCATAATAACTGTAAATAAATATTATTAGTCTAAATATTAAAGGAATGTCACTATATTGAGCATCAACAGCTCTATCTACATAATATATGAAATTCAAAGATATGTTAAGCCCATATAGTATATTCGTATGTCAGAATTAATGGCAAAGTTAGGAAAATTTACAAAATGTAAGTATAATGTATTGAGATGAAAATTCTTGAAAGAATCTGTCATGCAAATAAAAGATGTTTTAGAAGTCTTAATTTATGTCAGGTAGATATTAAATTTGATTTTATAAGGATTTATGGGACTTAGTGATGCAATATTTTAATTTTGTCGAATAAAATCAAATAAGTATTAGTGAATTATCGTTGAAACGGTACATTATTGGCTATAGTATATTTTATTATGTGAAGAAATTATATCTTTGCTGATATATTGGTAGTTCGACGTCTGGCGAGCGATCTTCGTAGTCCTCATCGTTGTTCTGTGTTGGCAGCTCTTCTAATGCTTTAACTGACGAAATTATACTTTTTATTCATTGTAATACATAATGGTGATAAAAACGAAAGCTAAATAAAAAAAACTACTCACAACAAAATGCAAATAATGTAATCATGCTGCTATATCTCCTTGTATAGATGTATAAATGAATAATGAATATTATTTGGTGTCCGGCTTTCCATCGTTGGTCCCTGTGACAATCGAGCGATACATGCACACACTAGTTAGTTACGATACACAAAAACAATATGAGATCATCAAAGCATTTATATTCATTTAATATATGAAAAAATAGAAATTATAAGTTTCATTTATTTAGTATGATAATGCTTCAATAATCCCATTAAATGCTAGCTAAGTAAAATACAAATTAATATATGCGAAAATGCTGCTACAGTGAAATTATCTTTTTGCATAATAAAATATAAATCGTGATCTAATCTACGACGTTATAAAAAATATTAATTGACATAATGACAAGTGGATGTCATTTGCATTTGAAATTCCGCCAACAGCGATGTCAATCATAACCATAGATAAATTTTATCAACGAATATTTTTATGTATCTATCCGACGAAAATATTCACGTATCTTTGGTATTCAGTTCATGGAATTTCCCGCATTGATGGAAATAATTGAGATATTTTTTTCATAATAACAATATTTATCTTAAAATGTATGGAAAAAAATTCTGGTGGCTAACATCGATATATTATTGTATCTAAAACACAAAACATCGGACATTCCACTAAACCATTTTGTCTATATCACTAAATGTGCGTCAAAAACATTTAATAGTCATATACAAAAAACAAAGAAAACAGTGTATATAAATGGAACACCAAAACCCGCATTCACTATTCCACCCAAAACATCTTGGCAATAGTCACAAAATGCATTAAATTTTATAATGGAAAAAATGATATCAAACTTATGTATGGAGAATGGTATAAAGGAACCAATTTATTAATTACTTTATATTGTTTAAATGCAGTCTAACAAAATCCAATGCAATATGAAAGTGAAAAATCGAAGTAATTATACTGAACGAAAATTCAACGTTTGTCAGGATTTACGAGCATTGAAACTGTTATGGACACATTCCATATGAAATAATATGAGCTTAGACTTTCGTGGTACATTTAAATGAAACCAATATTTTTTGAATTACTACGCGTATTCTATTATTACAAAAATCATGATCTCGATTGCTGCAACATAACCGAAACTTCCGTACGTAGTTTTTTTATAGCAAAACACGCAAAATAATCCAAAAAACATCAGTACATATGAATATGAGACATAGTATTTTATTTTCTCATTGGATTATCACGTTTAGTTATATATGTATAAACTTTGAATGAAATAATATATTTTTTTATATAGTTGTATGTTGTGGGTGTAATAGTGTATGTATGTCAAGTGCCTATATCCTCACCAGCTATGATCTTGCTCATCTCAGTGACCTGTTTCGCCAGCAGCTGGTTCATCTGCAGCAGATGTTCGCGCTGTCTCTTGTCTTCACCGTCCGGGCTCTATACAGCCATTCAAGCGATTGTGTTTGCGATTTTTTTTTGGTATTCATGGACGAAGGTATATAATATATATTTTGATTCATTTAAAACCTTTTTGGTCCAAATAGAGGTATTATGAGCGATAAATATTTTTATTCTTACACTTAGTCCATGAAATATTAACATGACATTAAATATTTTACATTAATCAGCGTACACTACATATCTATTTTAATTCGATATTATTTTTATATGTACTATACAGATATCTAAATCTGCTTTGGAAATGATACTGAAATGAAGAGTGGATGGTCATGCAAAAGAAAATAGTACATTCAGAGCGACAATGAAAGCGGTACTATGCGATGCAGTCTAGTAGATCAGTGATAGGAAACAATAATTTTGATATTTGGCAGAACCTGGCTAAAGCTGGGTAATTGCCAGGAAGAAGAAGAAGTCTTAATATTGTTCTAATTATCAGAATTCATCACTGTTCGACCAGTATAAGAAGTTTTATGATACAATGTTCTGACAATGAAGAAAGCATATGACACGGAAAATGATTTATGTTCAATAAAGGTTGTGTTGTAGGTTCTATTTGAAATAGAAGAAGTCTTTAAGTTTTGTTAAACAAATGTAAATGTGAATGAATTTAGAGGGGTTGTGATAATTTCTTTTTCATATTAATGGAGGGTTATTTTTAACTTCATACCTTACTAGGATCCGCTGAAGAACCTGTTAGCATTTTCTTGATAGATTCCACTTTCTCCTGACGCTTTTGCTGTTCTTCAGGCGATAATTCTGGTGGCTGTGAAAATTATTTATTCTTATTAAAACACTTAATAAGTTGATTCAATTATTTATTTCATATAAACTAGAACTGTACATAATATTAAATATTTTTGTTTTTGACAAGCTTTAATTCAAATGAAACTACAAACTTAATTTTTTTGCATTATACTATGAGTATTTTTTTAATTTAAAAACTACATACTTCCGACGTTTCGGTTACTTTTCAGCAACTGTGATTGCGAAATGTAGTTTTTACAATAATAAAATACGTTTAGTATAATCCGAAAAATATTAATTTCATTTAAATGAATACTCGCGAAAATCTCATTTAACTATAATTCATTCATAAATAACACGTAATATCATCAAACCTACCTTCTCCGGTATATATCTCTCCGGTATAATAATCTTCTGTGGCGCGGCGAGTAATTGATCTATAGAATCTGGTACACGACGTGGTAAGGCCGAGCGTACAACGTCTGGAGCGCCTGTACGGAGAGCTCGCTCCATATCCGCGTCATCTAATGACCTACCTAAAGCCTATATCAACATATAATAACCCATGAAGTACGTTATTGGTTTTTATTATTATATAAAACTAGCTTTCCGCCCGCGTGGAGTTCGGTTATATCGCGTTTCCAAGAGAACGTTTCAAAAGTCTGGCATAAAAAGTATCCTATGTTCTTTCTCAAAGTCAATTCACTGTACCGAATTTCATTAAAATCAGTTCAGTGGTTTAGGCGTGATAGCGTAACAGACAGACAGACAGACAGAGTCACTTTCGCATTTATAATATCAGTAGGGATGATGGGAAATAATATATTAATACTATACTATTCTGTGCAATGCCTATGTATCATTCGGTATCATTCGGTATGAAAAGATATGTAAGAAGAGTATTTATTCTATATGATTTACTGATTTATAGATGGTCAATTATATTTTTTAGTACATATTATTTTAATAGTCGATATAAAACTATTAAAACTAATATGACAATAAGAGCATGGTGGTGGTATTGCAATATTGCGCAAGTATTTGGTGAGGCGACTTATATGTAAATACCTATAGTACGAGTACTTTTTTTCGTAGGTTAATAAAGAAATATAACCAAATGTTAACACACTCCAACAATTGATGTTTGAAATAGATATTTCTTAACATAACAGAAAATGTAATGATAAAAATAAAATAAATGTTCGAAATTTAAAAACACAACATTGATCTAAATTAAAGTAAGTCCTATACAGCAAGAACAAAATATTCAAAATTTAAAAACAGAACTCGATATCGATTCATGTCAGTTATATACACTAAGATCAAAATGTTCGAAATTTAAAAACATAACATTGATATAGACTAAAGTCAGTTTTATAAACTATCTTAGTGCATAACTGAAACTGAATGGTAGAATATTATAATAAAAAATATTGTAAAGTACTTACATCCTGGTTGTATACATCTTTAGGCATTTCATTCAAGGTTTTCGCGCTGAGGTGATGTGGGGCGGTGTAGTGTCGCCTTTTCTCTTTTGGTACTTGCCGTCTATGAAGTGAATTCTTTGGAGCATCGTTTGACATTTCAGTTATAATTTGCTTGGCTGCCTCGCTTTTAAATATCGGTGACAATTCTATGTTGGACCTCGTCAAACTCGCCATACTGCTAGTTTTTGATATAGGATCGTTTGTTAGCGTCCTAGCGCTATCTGTGGGCGTATTTAAGTATTGCGTGGATAATGAATTGGTTCGATCGTAATTTGATTTGTCATAACTTCTGTGATAGCTGCTGCTTAATGAAGATATGTCTCGGGAATAATCATAGTTAGATAATGATGGGCTCGACGGATATTTGGGACTTTGATCCATATTTTTGTCGTTTATTCTAATATAGGGCGATTGTTCTGGATTTTGTGGTTTTGAATAATATTCTTCGTATTTGCTGTAGTCAGTTCTTGGTAGAGATGATGCTCGGTAGTTATTTATCGGCTGCACTAATTCTTCTTCTAGGAACTGATCGATATTAGTAATATTGTTTGCGGACCAATCGGACATCGGCTGTAATGAACGCTCCCTATCTCTCTGGCGTCGTTCGCTCTCTCTTTTGACTATACGAACTGTTTTGATTTCTTGTTTCTCTACGTTGGTTAAATTACCTGAAAAAATCGTGATAAATTTAGGTTTGCACTTACGTACTCTGTTAGTAAAGAAAATTAAACACTGATATATGTTACAAAAAAGTTGTAAGATTTGAAATACACTTGAATATTAACTACAGGAAGACATAAAATATAAACAAATGGGAACATTTCTCTAAATTTTTTCTTTACTTATGTAGTAAGGACTTCTGTTCCTTAACAAGTTTCTTTTGACTTTATAATCATGACACATATATTCCTCGCTACATATCCAAAAATTTCAAAAGTGTCATTAAAGCTGGTATTATAAATATGAATTTGATAGTGTAACTAACCAAAAGCAGTATGCTGCATATCTTCGCTGTTAATAGGTGAAGCGACATCCATTCCAGGTGATCGTGTGTCAACATATAGTGGTGTTTCCATACTCTGTCCGTAATGTCCCGGCTGTAATGGAGCCGATGGCTCATAGTCATAATCAGAATGCCCATGATCAATGGTGTGACCTGTATCAAGATTTGTCTCCTGCCACGAGGACATTGGACGACGTTTTCCTGAAAATATCATAGAAAAAAGTTAGAATCATTTTAATATCCATGCCGTGATAACTTTTAATTGAAACAAGACTTAGCTGAAAATGTAATTACTTTTATTTTAATACTTATAAATGGTGTATGTTTTGTAAGTTGTCCTTATAAATAAATAAATATGCATTACATCTTGAATACGAAGTATCAATGAAAAATAATTGGTCAATTGTCTAGCAATCATAATAGTAAACAATTATTGGAGCTATCATATTTAAGTACGAAATTATTATTGACAAAAATTATCTTGTTTCGATGGATAGCTATATAATGATTTTATACATGATTTTCATGATTAATAACATACCATTGGATTCATGTGTTGTTTGTAGTACATGTGACTGTTGTGTCAAATGTCTTACGGCTCGTGATAACTCCTGTCTCTGACGTTGTAGGGCCGATACAAGATGTTGAACACGGGATACCTCTGAAAATTGACACCATTACAAATAAATTAATTAAATCAATAATACTACTAATCATTACATGATTTGGCTGCAATCTAGTTTTACAATCGTAGTACTACATATACATATAATTTTTATGAATAATTTCTGCATTCAAAATAGGCACTATTAGCCGTCAAAATTCCAGTTCGATAAGAAAATATTCTATGATAAACGTTTATGTTTTTCCAATTTATATGGAAGGAAAATTCGTATGCAGATAAATCTGAAAATTATACATATATCTAATATTAGTACATTCTATGGCCCACAGGTTAGTCTGAAAAGTATATTCGTATATTCTATCTTCTTCTTCTACCTGGCGATTTCCCAGCTTTAGCCAGGGTCTGCCTTACATGTTGTGAATAGTTTTGGCTAATTGTTTTATGACCGGCCGCCTGCCTGACATCAACCCTCTTTTGGGAATCTGCATTAATTAGTGATATCTAAATAGTCTTAAAGTACATATGACTCGTAAAAATCACATTGGTACTTGCCCGGGCCAGAATCGAACCCGCGCCCCCTGGTGCATGAAAGGCGGGCCTTTTAACCACTGGGCCACTACTGAACTTAAATAATAATTAGTATTTTCTATGTTATTTGTATTTTATGATATTATTAATACTAACCGTCTTCTAACATAGCGGTGGGATGTGCGTGTGTCTGTGTGTTAGCTCGTTGTGCTCTCAACGCCCGCCGCAGATGATGCAGCTCTCGTTCTAAACGAGCGTTATCTGCTACCGTCTGCTCCAATTTCTGAAAGAAATATAAATAATTTGTTAAGTTCTCTAATTAAATTCGTAAATTTTTTGTAAATTTTATAAGTCATGGGACATTTATTGTGATTCATGGGAATCATGCGGGTTTTTTTGGGGATGATATGATATAAAAGATTACTTGAAAAAATAAATATTATTAATAAAACATAATATGTAACTTCTCACATGCATTGAAGTTTGACAAATTATACTTTAAAGTTCCTTAAGAATAAAAGCTCCGCTAAATAAGCAGTGCTGTAAAGGAAATAAATAATGATATAAATAATAGTGCATGTATATTAAAACCTTATAAACCTTTGAATTGTGCGCCAACATCGCGTGCACCCTCGCTAACTCCATCTCAAGGCCGGGCTGGCTCGCGCTAGCTGATGTTAGTTTACTACGAACACCTGCAATAATTGATATAACTACTGTAGAATTTTTTACAGGATGATTTAAATATTTAGTTTATAGTTTGAATATCGTTATTGTTTTGTTTTACATTTTTCTTACTGCCATATGTTTATAATATAGCTGTAAATAGCAAGAATATAGAGGCCTATGTTATTACTAAACTTCTAAATTTAGTATCTAAGAAAGGCAATGTCTTATAAAGGACACATGAAAAATATTTAACTTAATAATACGAAACTAAATCATTGTACATAAAGATTAACAAAAATGCCTCAATTGCTAGTCCATAATGATTTATCATTAAAATTATTTATTCTATTCACAATTCCCTTCCCTATTCCCACTCTTTACTACCATTTCCTTATTCCCATCCCTCCCTATCCCTAAAAAACAAGGTGGCAACGCATCCGCAACAAAGATGTTCTGGATGTCCATGGGCGACGGTATCCTTCCATCAAGTGGGCCGTCTGTTCGTTTGCCACCTTTTACATAAAAATAAATAGTAACAATTACCAGTAAGTAATGAATCGATGGCATCTTTATCAGTCTTCAGACCCTGTAAGATGGCTGCTTCATCAGCCAGTTCCTGTTCCAGCGCCCACAGCTCGGACACCCTCACACGAGCGGCCTCCGTCTCTAACGCTTTACCAGCAGCTGCACTTTCTAACCACCTGATAATACAACAAAAAATATTTATATATGTTTGAAAACTGTTTTAATTTATTGGGAAACAGTATTATAACCAATTAATAGAAATAATTCATAAAAAAATACATAAACCAATTAAGTTTCCACCGATTACAAGTTCGTTTGGAGCAAACAAGAATAAAACGACTAAACACGCGTTGGCCAAAATATAAAATAAGAGATTAAAATTAAAATACAAAAATTTATTGAAATTGAGCAAAATAATAATATGATCAATAAAAATTAAGACAATTATTTAAAAAAAATCATGAGATAAACATAAATTAATAAAAAAAAATTAATTAATTACAATTTACAGGCATTACTAATTTCTTATTTTTATTTTATTTTTTGTACACATTGTAAAATCTATATTGGAAAAACATTTTATTTGTTTTATCCTTTATAGGGCATATAATGTATAATCTCACCTCTGTTGTTCCAAAGCATGCTCAGCTAGAACTTTCTGTCTGAGTCTCTGATTCCTTTCCAATCTCTCAATAGTTGAACCCGGTCTGTTATACAATGAGCCTAACTTCACCATATTATCGACCAGCTGTACCAGAGGTTTGCTTTTCTCATACTGACTTTCCAAATCCATTAATTGCATCTTCAAATGTTCCAAACGTTGCAAACTCTCTTCACGCTCCATAGCTTTCAATGAGCTCATACACTCCTGAAATTATTATATTAACTAAAATTCAACACTTTTATACAAATATAATGGGCAGTAAAACCAAAAGATTTTTAAAGCAAAAAAAAAAAAAAAAAAAGCATATTAAGCACCTCGATGCTACTAATTTGGGCGCAACATTGCTCAATAGATCGATGTGTGGCAGCATGTCTTCGTCTTAGTTGAATCAAGAGCAGAACTAATTCTTCATGACTTCGTCCCAAAAGCTCTCCCGCTGTGGGAACCTCGCCCAACTCCTGATTATCTTTACGCTGACGCAACACAAAATAAAGCGAACATAAAATAACTAAATAAAACATAATAATTGCAATAACTAAATAGGGTTGTACCAATTCATCATTCTCAGTGTTCCTTCTTACTCTCGGACTGACAGCCCTGATTGGCTGTTGGATGACTCTTGAAGGTGACCTAACAGTCGACCATCCTTCTTCGGATGGAGTCAAATTATTTAACTGAAAAATTTAATTGAGCTTTAAAAAAAGGAGACTTCCTCTAGGATTTTTTTGGAAAGAATCCCTAATAATATTATAACTGTAACTCTTTCTGTCTGTCTGTTACGCTATCACGCCTAAACCACTGAACTGATTTTAATGAAATTTGGTAAAGAAATAGAGTTGACCTTGAGAAAGAAAATAGGATAGTTTTTATCCCAGACTTTTGAAAGATTCTCTTGGAAACGCGATATAACCCAACTCCACGCGGGCGAAGCTGCGGGCGGAACTAGTTCATAATATAAAAGCTTGTGAATACATAAAATGAAAACGTATAAAAAGAGAATAGAATGAGAAAAGTCAAAAGTCCTAACGTTAAACCTAAAGGCTCTAATGTATGATGATCTTACATTATGTTGTGATGCTGTTAATTGTTGCGAGCCGTACTCTTCATTATGTTTGTCCTCGACCCATCGTACTCTTGGACTGACAGCTCGAACGGGAATATTCCCATCCCTATTAGTCCTTCCAATGGATGTGTTGCTTCCGAGGAATGGTTTATTTGACAAAGTTGTCTGATTATGTTGATTGTTGTTATTATTATTAGGGCCTGTTTCAATATTCGTTCCTGACATTGTCATTGAAGCTAAAAATAAAAAATAGGCAATTTTACTACAATTGTTTAATAATACTCAATAATATTCATTTAACTTTATTTAAAAACAAAATATATGCAATGTTATGGGAATGGTAAAACATGATAAAGTGTGTAACTCCATAATTAGTATATTTGTTAAATTATGTACAGTACATTATGATAAACAAACCATGTTAAAAATCACATGCTAAATGTGTTTATATACACCTTATCGTGTTTACCCATCGACATATAATTATATATAATACGCATTAATATTATGAATCATTCACATAAAACTTCCAAATTGACGTAAATAATTGAATCAGATTTTGCTCTTTGGTAATATAAATATAAAATGGGACTTACATAGTCTTTACGCGATCATAGAATGCTATAGGATACCTTCATTGCTTGTACTTTCAGTACCATTTTCTATTATACGGTGTTCATCACTATTGTCCCTACTTGCAACGGTACTCCGCACGCGTCCTTTTTTATCTTTCATAAGACCACTAGACATTAAGTCCCACTGTCTAAGATTTTCCCTATCAATTTCAAATTTCTTTCTATTTTTTTCATTATTATTACGCGACTGTTCACTAGTATCGATAGCTAGCTGTTCATAGACACCTTCTATAGATTCAGGTAGTTCGGAATCGTTCGCTAGACTTACATACACATCGTTCTCATCGTTTTCGTCACATTTAGAAATAGTGGCTTCTATATTCCGCCTTTGGACTAGGCTTTGAATATCACAATTGACGTAGGTAGCAATCTTTTTACTCTTATCGGGACTACATTTCTTGATACGTTTAATACTATTCATTGAAGATGTGTTGACGTACGATCCATTCTGTACGCTATCTGTAGGCATTGTATCCAAATCATCCATAGATCTTGCGTGTCTATGCGATACACGTCTTAAATTATCTCTCCATATAATATCTTCATCCCAGTGTTTCTCTCCGTGATACAACACGTTTTCGTATGCATTCGCTTCTGTTTCGGCGTCATAATAAACAGTGTTTGAGGAATTCCCACTACAGTGTGATGACATACTCTCGGAAGAAACTGGTATAGAGGTGTTCACATTGCTATGGTTGGAGATGTTTGCATCTTCTAATAAATCTAAATTCAGATTCTTTTTCTTTGTACTATTTTTACATCCAAGACTAGATATTAAACTCAATGATTCGGGTATTTTAGATGTTTTACCGCCCGTTGATACGTATATATTTTTGAGATCTATATCTGGATTCTTTTCAACCACACTTAAAAATTCTACTGACACACTCCTCGCTGATGCGACTAAGTCGAATTGTTGATCTGATACTTGATTATTACGAATTGGATTTCTTATGTGGCTGATTTCATTATTTTTGTGCATCGGACCTCTTCGTCTTTGATTATTGAGCTTACGATGGATATTAGTCTTTTTTAAATAATGTGAAGTTGGCAAAACGTTAATGTGTTCTTGAGAAGATAGATCTGAATAATAGTATGGCGCACTATGTTCCGTGGAGCTCTCTCTACTATGAAAGCCAGTTGTGACAGATGAAGAAGAAGTTCCGTTATCAGTTCTTTGGGCCAGCTTATCTTTGTCGAATTCTTTTATTTTATCCACCAGAACATCACTGTTCAGATTTTTTCTCATTAAGGTGTTTTCATGACAGTTCTTTCTATAAAATGATGTAGGAGATTTAGGTATTCCTGTAGAACTACAAGAACTTTGTGAATCTGCAAAATCATATCCATGATCCGTGGTATATTTATGACGAGCTCCCAAACTATTTTTATCCGAATTTTTTGCAGCACTTTTAACAGGAGTACTTGAGGATCTAGTGTGTGAAACTACCGTGTGAATACGGTCCAATAGTAGATTGTTTTCTTGTAAAAATTCTTTATTCCTATTATTATTAGAGTAATCGTTATCATTATTTAAACTTGAGTCACTAGTGCCTTCTTGTAATCTTTGTAAATATGTATCTAGATTAACTGCAGGCATTGATTCACTGGAAACATAATTTTCTGTTTCTGTTAACTCAAACAAGGAGTCATCTGATAGCGGTCTTCTTTTAATGTCTTCTAAATTGCGAAACCCGTATGGATGGCGAAGGTCAACCAATGAATCCGAATCTATGAGGCTTTGAATCTCAGAAGAAATATTTGAGGTTGCCATATCAAATTTGCTACTCACATCTGATTCTATAGATAATCTTGAAGATCCTTTATCTGCATTGTAACTTTTAAGAGATTCTGTTTCTGTGATATTTGGATCATTTTGTTCTATATTTGAATTACTCAACAAACTACACGCTGATCCGATCGTTTTATTTAAATCGTTTGTCAAACTTGCTCTACTATTACGAACTTTTTCTCCTCTAGTTAAAGTATCATGAATTGACGTCCGACTTCCATAAATCATAAGAGACGTGGTTTTCCTTTTCATTTTATTCATTTTTTGGTTCTCACTGGTCAACATTTTTATAATTGAATTGTCTTGTGAAATATCTGATTTGTCTAATTTGTCCAAAATATAACGTGAAAGTTCCTCATCGAGTAAGTTATCCTCGGACGGCGAATTAAATATCGGTGTTGATGATGGAATGTCACTGTCTGAACTATCTTGTCTATCCAAAATGGTTCTACTTCCACTCAAATAATAAGACGCTGGTCTAAACGTATCAGAAATACTGAATCTACTAAATGGTGAATCAAGAGAAAGTTTTGAACTGTTCGGATCTTCTTCAACATCAGAAAACTCCAATTTTTCTTTTGCATTCTTATCTCCTTTGGATATTCTTTTAAGTGTTTGTTCTTTTGTATCTGCAAAATGTGATGTCGTATCTGATAAACTATTTGATTTACTTGTATCTTCTGTATTACTCTTTTCTGGTACAATATTATTTAGTTCCATGTAAACTGGCTCAACTCTTCCATTATTGACACAGACCAATTCGTAAGTTTGCATACTGTCATCATCAGTGCCTAAATTCATTTCAACGTAGTGATTATCTTCATAATTTTGTTTGGAGGCATGCTCATAATCACTCAAATTATCTATTATTGTCTTGTGAGCTGGTTCTATAGCTGACATTTTGCGTGGACTCATAGGCAAGTAATGATCTTCTCCAAATGGTCGAGCAGGAAGTTGTTCAGGTTCAACCTTGTCAAAAGTTTCTTCCAATGTAGATACTGTTTTCACTTCAGCCACATTACCTTTTGCATCTTCAACTTCAATATCAGATTCTAATAACACTTCATCTAAATCATTATCAGTATATTCTAGTTGTGTTTCTGATTCTGCTTCGCTGTCATTTGTCACATAACCACCTTCATCAACATCAACAGCATTTTCTAAATTATAATCCGTGTTATTCATAGTTTCAACTTCATCTTCTAATTCAATATTATCACAGACTTCTGTCTTGGTCATTTCGCCACTACATAAAATATTCTCATACGTATTTTCTATATCTTTGGTAATGTTTTCGACAATGTTATCGGTCATGTCGGTTTTATCATTTAATATATTTGAATGTACAGCGTGCGGAGGACTTGTCTGCATTAAGGTAGGACATGTGATATTTATTAAATCGGACCTTCCTGCCTGCATATTTCCCATATTTTGCAGTTCAGTGCCCGGTGATTCTTCTGGGGTGCAAAAGCGAAACCAAAATTTATTATCTTTTTACAATTAATAATAATACCATTATTTCTCGTTTATTATTTTTGTTAGTAAACTATATTTCCTTTTTTTGTTTTAAAAATGAAATAAATCATTTTAATAACGAGAAAGTGTTAACAGGCAGTGCTACTAAATACAATATTATATTCATAACCCACCACCAGTCTAATCTAATTTGTATTGTGTTAGTAACACTATGGCCCAGCAGGCAGGAAGGTACCTTTCCATAAAGCGTAGTCATCACTAAACACCACTGCAAGATTTATGTAAATGAGACAATAATATTTATAAATATATTTAATAGCTTCCTATTTTTTTACCATACATACATGTATAAATATAAAAATAGTGTTTTTTATATAATTGTAGTATTTATAGAACATCATATAAATAGTTACATGTACATAATATAACAGTGTTTTTTAAACAGCGATTTTGTTTAAGCTACTCAAGTTTTAATTATTAGCAAATAATAACTAGATTCTTACATTATACAAGTGAAGACGATAAAAAATAATATTATTTATTAATGACAATGAATTCGTGATCCATGCAATGATAGCTACATGCTTTTTGGGGGTTTTTCAATATTTTTTTACCATGCTTATGTTCTACGAGTGAACTAGTATGACCTACCTTCATCATCTGAAGAGTAGCTGTTGTATGAAGCGTTCTTATATGTCTTGGGTTTATATTGATCAGATCTCAACGATTGTCGGCTCTGGTTCAAGGATCTTGCTAAAGAGATAGTCGCTGGCGTACTTTTCCTTGTTAGAGGCGATTGTAACATCCTCTGTTTCCATTCTAAAAGCCTTTTCATAGATTCCTCGCGCTGAAATTTAATAATTTAAGTTAAATCTATATTTCTTCTTAGTGCTAAAAAAATTGCGATTATAATATACCTGTTGCACTTTTTTATCTCTGTCTCTTTCCGACGGCAGTCTGGCGCTTGCTGATCTCATGAAACCTTCGGAACTGGGATCGAATCTAGAATCTTTTATGATAGCACTAACATTTGAACCATCGCTCATAACACTGCCACTTCTATTTAAATATTCCTTCTGGTTTTCTAGATCTTTTTCTTTTAAGGTCCAATTTGAATTCATTCCTTCATGGTCTTGTATTTTAGACGCATAGTTCGTTTGATCTCGTATTGTTCTATTGACGTTGAATTCTGTTTCATAGTTATTATTGTTATTTTGGTTGTACGGTGAATGTAGCTGTTTCTCAGCCAGTCCGCTTGCGTATTTCTCTAAAGGAATACGTATATTTTTGGGACCCATATTCTGTTGTTGTAAGTATTGAGCGGATTGCCGCATTTTTTCTGCGTAGCTCTCCTCTGAATAGTATTTATCTGAACTCGGATCGTAATAGGAATTGATGTCTAAACTAGATTTAGGGCGTTGCGGTTGTTTGGTTTGTTCGTTAGTTTTTCTTATTGGTATCGCATTGTTGAGGGCTTCGTTTTTGGATTCATATTCTAAAAAGTCAGCGCTGTGAGGTCGCGGCATCGTCGGTTGAATGCCACTCGCCTGCATCTTTTTCCTCCTTAGAACGGATGGTCCAGAGAAAGTTTTCTCCTGTACCTATAAAATAAAGAACATTAATCAATCTTTATCTATACTAATATGATAATATAATTTATAATTTTCTCCAAGATAAAACTTAAATGAAAATTCTATCAGCAGAAAATAGAATTATATGAAACTTTTATAGTTAAATCTTTTTCTCTAGATTGGATAGAAGAATCTAAGAGTACATTGTAACAATAAAACTTACGTAATTCGTATTTTGTTCTTGCGGTGACTTATGACTGGAGAGACTAACAGTATCTCTAGACTGCGATGGATTTGGAGATTTCGGGAATAGTTTTCCATTGTCATTATTGTACGCGCTGTATATATCTTCGTAATCTCCTATTTTCTCATTATAAGCTGATGCGTTCGTTCTTCCGTACGTTTCAGGAGTACGTTCGTTCATATTAGTGTTAGTTTTATTATTCTTCATATTAACATCTCCGTACATTTCCCTGTTGTATACATTGGGATCGTGTGACTTAATGCTTCTGTTATCAGAATAGTTTTCACTGTATATAGATGTTTTGCTCATATCTGCTGTCACACGACTAACATCTTCGTTGTCTTGAGATTGCCTCTCTTGTCCAGAATAATCTTGTAAGAATGGATTGTAATTAGGCTTCTTATCGTATAGACTTTCAATTTTTTCTTCGTCCTCTTTAGTGTGTTGGTTTCTCAACCTATTATCATAAGGAGATTGTGGGTTAGATTTATATATAGATACATTTTGATTGTCTAAATTCTCAGTTGTATTTGTTAATGGTAGTGACAGTTGTTGCATGTCGTATGAACGTTTTGTTTGATATGGAGATTGTAATGGATTCTGTGGACTGCGGTATGTTTCCTGTATGTAGTTTGTTCTAGTGTGACTAGTGCCTTGGCTGTATTGTGATGCTGGTTTTCTAAGGAGATCGTAATTTGGATCGTACCTGTAATTTTTTTGGGAGTGATTAATTATGTAATATGATAATTAATTATATATCAATTATTGAATATATATGTAAGAAACTCACATATCTGGGCTAGGTGAATTATATCCATCGTTGGATCGTCTCGGTTTTGGTGGTGCGTTTGCATAAGTTGGTCCGGCTTCTTCATTACTTTCCTGGAATTAATAAAAATATGATGTAAAATAAAATTGTTTATAATTTTTTAAGCCATTATTGATATTATATAATGATACTAAGAATGTTATATAATTTACGTTCATGAAATAATTTGGCCTTATTTATATGTATGTATGGATATTGGTTTTCAAATTGTAAACAATCAAAAGTGTCGGAATTGCCTTTATAAGCCAAATATAAGTTTGATAGTGTGATAAAATATTCATTAACGATATATATTGATCGTAAAACACCGTTACAGTTTCATATTAAGTATTCTATTCAGAGCCGCCTATAATTCTCATTTATAACAGTACTATAATATCTGTCCTTGGTAACGCTCCGATGAACTAATTGTTGCTTGCTAATAATACTCACCTCTGATTTCGCTGATCGGTCATTTTGTTTCTGTTCACTGAAATAGAAATAAATTGTAAATAAACATACATATAATGAAAAAATTACATATATTTTTTAGATTTAATGTTATTTACTTAGTATTTTGCATTAACGCGGCCATTGTAAGCGCCTTCACCCATTTCATCATGGCTTCCTGGTCCAAAGCCGCTAACACGTATGTACGCATATTCGCATGCTCCAGTTTAAAAGCAAACTTCCGCATCACTTTATCCTCTGCGCTACAAGCTGATACTTTGTATGACGGTAATAATACGGAGCCCAGTAACTTCTCCTCGTCTTGACCTACAATTATAAGGAATTTCATACATATTTGTTTATCAAATTCTAACAATAAAAATGTGAGTCAATGTGTTTGTAACTATTTCAAGCAAAAATTAAGTAAAAGATTTATATGAAACTTTTATGTGATGTAGCTTAGAGATCTAATTACCATATGGACTTTAACTTATGGTGAAATCTTTTGTGATTAATGAGTTACCCGGACAAGTGTATATTGAGTAAAGTCATGAAAAACATAGTTTAAAGATGCTACGATTTGCTTATATAACTATTATTTTCAAATACTACCTATTATTTCTAAATATACTCACTTTTGTAGTAAAATAAACAGTACTCAGACAGCACGAACCACCGCTTCCTCCAAACTTTAAGGCCATCGGAGCCCTGTTTGTAGAGCATTCCGGACATAGTGACTGGTGCTGACGGTATTCGTTGGGCAGTCGGTGAACGTAATGCTTGAGTGCCGCTACTACTTCTCCTACTATCAGATGAAGGGGATTTTATACTGGGAGTACTAGATTCACTAGATTTCATAGGAGATACGACTCCTGAATTGGTCTTTTGGTTGCTATAGTCAGATGGTGGGGATTGGCTTTTTGATTTCTCGTGTTCCGAGTATCTTTGCCTTTCGGATTCCCTATAATCGTTATGATTTGTTTGCCATTGATTCTCCTGATACTGTCTGTTTTGTATGTCCATGTCGTTGTAATCATAGTTCTTGGCGTATCTCTCCATATCTCGTTGTATATCATTACTGCTGTATTCCTTGAAGTCGTTTTTACTACTATATCGATCTAAATCTCTGTAGGAACTGTCCGAATAAATGCTGTTCTGCAAATTCGGTGGCGGTTGTACTCCATGAATTTGCTGCAGTAGTAGTTGTCGTTCAGCGAATTTTTGCTGTTGATGCATCTGAGCTTGATTCTGATAATGCATCTGTTGTTGCATTTTCATCTGTTGAATTTCATTATACTGCCTCCTCAATAATTCCGTGTTACTTTGGGGCCCTATTCTGTTTGAATAAGGAAGATACGGCTTGGAACCGTACTGGTTCATGTTAGGTCTATACATAGGTTGATGGTTTTGATATATTTGGTTATTATCTTTCGGTGGGTTTCGTTTCATATAATCTTGATATACTTCAGCGTTGTAACCTTTAGGCATATTCTGGAGCAGTTCGTGATTTACGTTGTGATCTGTGTGAATCTCGGTTCTTTCAATTCTGGGCGGTGATTGCGGATAATTATAATTGTCATTCGCCCCGTAATGTCTAACATAGTCGTGATTATGTCCAGTTCCATACATCTCGTGCTTGTTTTCAAGGAGTGGCGATCGTGCATTCATATTCGAGTGATATTGGCTTTGTAATAGTTGATGCATGACGCCATTCTGTTGGATTTGCGCTGCCTGATTATTAACGAGTGTGGGTAACTGCGTCTGTTGGGGTGAATATATCTGGTCAGGATGGACATGATGCGCCATGAGATGTTGCTGCGTCACCGGCTGTTGGGTCGCTGTTACATTTTTTTTATTCTCCATCTGATAGTCCGTCTGTGTCACCGGTGGATCGATCCTGGAACAATTAAAAGATATTGTTCACACGAATTTTTACAGATCCGTTTGATACAACACTGAAATTCATATATAAAAATAAACACAGGCCCCATTTTTAATAGTTCGCTTCCCTTATATTAAATTTGGGGAAAAAATATTTTAAGCTTGAATTCCTTAATGTTTATATTTAAATGATTTTTCTGTAAGTTAAAGGTACATTAAAGCCAGTCAAACTAGGAAGCCCAGTAGAACTTTCAATAAAATCATTTAAGTATTTACCCGTAAGAAACAGCAATAATTTCTAAGATATGACAGTAACACGGTAATCTTCTATATATATATAAAAATGGATTGCTGTTCCTTAGTCTCGCTAAAACTCGAGAACGGCTGAACCGATTTGGCTAATTTTAGTCTTGAAATACTCCTGGAATTCCAGGAAAGGTTTGAAAGGTGAGAAAAATTGGAAAAATTGCCGGAAAAACACTAAAAACAGCCCTTTTCTATTTCCCATACAAACGATTTTTTGACATTAGACTTGACAACTAACTAATATGTCAATCATTCTGTTCGATTGAAGTAGTAGAAATTTAATTAATACCAATACCGGGTTATTGAAGACGGAATAGAGTTTGCCCGTTCAGCTATACCTATATTACTAATGACGAAATTAACGCGGACGAAGTCGCGGGCAAAAACTAGTAGTATATAAGATGCCACTGTATACTATAGTGCTTACGAGAAAAGAAATTTTGAGAAAGCGTCCTGACCCTTACATACTGTAACATATGAAAAAATAGGTAAAACAATTTATAAAAGAATAAACGCTTCGGTAATTTTTTCTTCTCAAAAGATAATTGCCGGTCCAAAAATATTCTTATGAAATATTTTAAACCCAAAGAAATTGTGTCAAAATTTAGTTATAGTATATTGAACGCAATTGAAACAAAAAATAAAAATTACGAGCAGTTTTTGCGACTTAAAACCTGAACCTAAAACTAATTATTTGATTGTTACTTACTCCATTGATAAAACTAGAGCAAAACCAATTCCGTAATCAACGTTCCGAATTGTGTTCTTTCAATATTTTATTTTCATTTTTAAATTATTCTCATCTTTTTATTAAGTTTTTCCTTTTTTGTATTAGTTTTATGTACTACCAACGGTATTATGAGCACAAGCGATTTTCTCAGAGAAAGTGTTATATGAAAGGTGGAAGAAAACTCTTGCCCATTCAAAACTAATTATCGGTTACTTTTCCTATATTGTTTATAATGAGTTATAATCCGGATATGTGTTGGACCGCATCCGCCATCCTTAATGACTTGTCAATCGTTGGTGAGTTACAGGAAGCATAAGTATTATTTATAAATATTCTTAAGATAATGTAAGCTTAGTTTATATAGGATTGAGTGATTTTTAAGTTTAATTTTATTTTAGAAAATTTTGTTGCTTTATAATGCTGAATTATAGTACTATTAAAATATTAGAATAAGCAATAACAAATGTCTACTTTAGATAATAGCAAAAAATTTTTCACTAATTCATACCAACAATAAAAAACACCATAATAGTATTTGCACACGTTGATAAAGCAAATGATTTAGTTCAATTTGTTACTACAGTAGAAAAAGCGAACATAGTTCCCACGTAACTTACCTCACGTAAAACCACAACAGTTACACTCGATAATTACCCAATATAAACATTATACGGCCAACTCCACATAATAACTGATAATATGCAAACTGTACGGTCTAGCAAAACCTACATAATACCAGAATCCAATTGGCTGGATGCCAGGCCGCAATCCTGACTTCGTAAGAGACACGCGCCAGATTAAACTTATTCCAATGTCATTCTCACCACTGACCCATTTATGTATGTGTGTCAAGAAACGTTTATTATAGTCACATATGACTGCATTAATTCCATAAAAAAAGGACTTAGAATGACATGCTAACTGATATGGGAAGAAAAGAGTTGGACGCTTAATATTACTTAGAAGTTAAAAATATACCTTTTTTAAGGCTAATTCCTATTTGTCTTTATCTAAATCAATCAATGATTTCCCAATGCAGTGCATGTTATAAATATTCTACAACTATTACGTCAGTTAAGACATGCCGACCAAGATATGTCATATTGATACTTAATGTCGGACAATCAAATGACAATCTATATGAGTATATAGTTGTTATCAAACAACATCAGATTGCATTAATTAATAGCTGATGAAGTGAGAATCGGCTGGAGCACGATGGGTTCCGTACCATAATAAATGAAACGAGCAATGAAAATCATATTTGAAGTATTGATGTACCTTTAAATCTTTATTTTATTCGGTTTCCGAAACAACAGAAATATATAATAATCTGTGAAAATTTTCCGTGAGTTACGGCCTGGAGACAGGTTAAAAGAGAGATAGACGAAAAATAGCAAACTCTTATTAATAGATTCCGTTTCACTTTATGATTACGGAATCCTAAGAAAATAGTACATTTTGTTTTGAATCTTTTATTGGTTTTATATCTGAAGTACAACATAATTTTAATAAATATGAATATGTATGTAATAATATAGTACCTATTTGAGGCATTTCAATCGCATACCCTACTTCTAAAATATTTAACTTCCAAGATATATATAATACTGTTTGACCAGATATTGCGATTTCGCTTGAATGAACTCTGAATCACAAACGTACTCTATCGACATCAAAGGATGTTTGTTTTTGTATTGCGAGCCCACTGCACTGTAAACTGTTTAAATCCGCTTTATATCTATACTGACTGATATTGAGACATTTCATATTATAAATATTACGGTTGAATAAAAACTGAAAGATTTTCGCTTACACATTTAAGGAAGACATACATTTTGTATTGATATTTCATTATAATTGCTCCAAAGATTTCCTGTATAGTATTATTTTCAATATATTAAATTAAAAGCAGTCGCTCAAAGTCTCTTTCGAGTATGAAGTGTATTTTATTCGCACATTTTTGTTGTATGGCTTTTAAAATTATTATAATGTCATCTTGTTTATCTGAGCAGCATTTAGATTATAATGTTAAATTAAACGTCTTATATCCTTAAATCCTTATAAAGCCTTTGCCTACTTTTGAGAATAACCAATGAGATCTACGGCTTGTATTCATTTAAATGAAATTAATATTTTTCGGATTACCACGCGTATTTTACTATTGAAAAAACAGTAAACACGGTTGCTGAAAAGTAATCGAAAAGTTTGGAGTACAGTAGGACCCCGATTATCCGGACCTCGGTTATCCGAATTCGCGATTATCCGGACTGCCAATCGCGACGAGTTTATTCTAACATTAACATGTCAGAACTTGCATAACGCCACACCACTTATAACTAGGGCCCGGATAAATATGTATTAAAAAATCAAAAATATGTACATAAAATATGGACGAAAAAATAAAAAAATATGGAGTATAAAATTAAATAATTTCATAATTAAACATTGTTTTACTATAAGAAAGGGTCACTCGTGACATACGTCGTTAAGAAACATTTAAAAAACGATGAAAAAAAGGTGTGAAATATTTATTTCAACAAAAAGTAACAGTTTTATTCAACTTCCATTACACTAGCTTTGTCAAATTGGTTGCAATACACAATGACGTGCTTCTTTAAATTATCAAAATGAAAACTGACCATTTGGTCGAAATATACCTAGCCTTATATTTGGTGAATGATCTCTCCACGTCACATGACGTGATGGATGCATACTTACGCATACTTAATTCAGTAATTGTGTAAGACATGTCTACAGCCCTCCAAACTTTCGCACAGAATTTTTTTAATTTTTTAGCGTTTATATCCTTTATTTTTATCCAAAACATTAGTGGCGGGAACGTAAATTTTATGTTTTTTGTGAATATATGGATGATTGTGACATTTTTTTTGTAAAATATGGACTTAACTTTGAAATATGGTAAAATATGGAAAATAGAAGTAAGTTTTTCGCAGTCTAAATATGACAATCCATGTAAAAAACACATTCTAGACCGAAAATCGCGTAAATTAAAAATATGTATTTACATATTAATCCGGGCCCTACTTATAACACTTATACGTACATTATGTACAATCTAATATATAAAATTCTCGTGTCACAGTTTTCGTGCCCATACTCCTCCGAAACAACCTGACCGATTTTGATGAAATTTTTTGTGCTTATTCGGTAGCTATAAGAATCGGCCAACATCTATTTTTCATCCCCCTAAATGTTAGGGGTAGTCCACCCCTAAATTTTTTTTTTTATTTTTTAGACAAAATTTTTAATTACTATTTTTTTATGATACAACGTACAAAAATACATACAATCCTAAATTTTCACCCTTCTACGATCAACCCTTATTTTTTAATAGCTATTTTAGTAATTTAATCATTTTTCATCTCCGGTCGATAACTGATCAATCGTCATTTAATAAGTTATCCCCGCCAGATATCTACAGGTGTCACTTCTGACCCAGTAAACAGCACGGAGTAGGGATGAGAATGAAGCCGGTCTTCTGTTTCTCTCACACAATTAGACTTCTCTCACTCCCTACACAGTTGTCGGCCATCGTTATTGTTTGTGCATCAAGTGTAGTAGTAACGTTGACAATTATTATTTTGCTAGCTCAGTGTAACTCTCATATTAACTATTAATCATTCCTAATCACTTCAAAACACGGAGATTTATGGCTTTAATAGGTAAACTCCAAAAATATAAATAAAAAAACGTAACAGATATTTCTTGATTATAGGGCGAAACGAAGTTCGCGGGGTCTTCTAGTTTCTTAATAAACGTTGATTGTCGCTCATATGTATTTGTTGTTTTAAATAAAAACCTAACATTACATATGTATGGTACAGACTACATATGTACATATGCAAAAAGCCCGTTTTTCTTCATATATTGGATTATCCGGACTTTCAATTATCCGGATGCCTACCGACAACAATTAGTCCGGATAATCGAGGTCCTACTGTATGTAGTTTTAACAA